CCACTGCGCAAGCGCGGCTGGGCCGCGGAGCGCGCGCGCTGTCCACGTCACAGCGCGGGGCGGGGCAGGAGGAAAGCTAGGCAGAGGGCGCGCCGCTTTGCGACAGCGGAGGGCGCCGCGCGACGGTCGTCCCACTTTACGGCCGTGCCGAGGCTGCCTGGCCGCTGTCCCCCGGGACGCTGGAGGCGTGTGGCCGCTGGGGGTGCGCGCGGGCGGGAAAGAGGCAGAATGGCTCCCCAATACCCTGTGGGCGGACCTTCCGCCTGGCCCCGCCCTCCGTCGCCATAGCGACGCGTGGCCGGGAGCCACCGGGCCTCCGCGTCTGTGTCGTCAGGGTCTCACCACCTGACGTCACAGAGGGTGGGGCCTGCGTGGGCGGCGGCTGGTGTGGCGTGGGGACGCGACCACTAGGTGCTTCGGTTTCCTGGACTTGGGGAAGAGGAGAATGAAAAACAGTAGTTTGCACCGCAGAACAAAAAGCAACGTGTATGCATATATATAATTTATGAGTATAGTGTAGTCCGTGCGCACCAGGTAAAGAGCCAGACCTAGGCTTCTTGGTAACCAGAGCCGGAAGATCACTGCAGAAGGGTGGGTGGTCCCCAAGGTGCAGAGGGTTACCTGGAGTAAGCAGGATTACCTGTGAAGTGCCTTGCTGAGCCTCCCCTGCTTAACACAGGCCCCACACCCAGTAAGCACTCCATGGCGGCTTTCTAATTGTTTGCTATGCCTTGTCTGTCTCCTGCACTGAAGAAAGAACTTCGGGGGAGCGGGTGACTGGCCATGACACAAACACCCCCCTCACCTCCCAGTGAATCCCTGTTCTACACAAGGACAGAGCGCCTGAAGAGGAAGGGCAGCTGAAGACTCATGGCCTTCCTACTTACCCCACTACCTCCCAGGTGTGGGCATGGCATTTGTAAAATACAAGAGGAGACAATCCATTCAAATATGTATTAAGTGCCAGCCAATGGCTCTGGGAATAGAACAGTGAGTGAGGCTCTTGGCATGGCTTCCAGGGAGTCCTCAGTCCTTGGGGGGGGGGGGCAGGGAAAGGCCAGAAGAAAACTAAATGGTAAGATGGTTTCAAGTGACACTAGGCTAGTTAATAGCAGAGTGCCTGGGGAGGACTCCTGGGGCCAGATGGCCAGAGTAAGCCAGACCCTAAAGGCTAAATGCCAGATGTGATAAAATGGAGAGGATTCTTGCTTTCATACCGGGTCTCTTAGGGTTGAAAAAAAGAAATGGAGCGGGGCTCTAGTGGCTTACATCTATAATCCTAGCTACCGGGGAAGCTAAGATCTGAGGATCACAGTTAAAAGCCAGCCCAGGCAGGAGGTCTGTGAGACTCTCTTCTCCAATTCACTAGCAAAAAGCCAAAAGTGAAGCTATGGCTCAAGTGGTAGAGCCCTAGCCTTCAAGGGAAAAGCTCAGGACAAGGCCCAGGCCCTGAGATCAAGCCCCATGACCAAAATCAAACCAACAACAAAAGGCTAGGAAGGTGTCTCAGTGGTAGAGTGCTTGTCTTGCTTGCATGAGGCCCTGAGTTAAATTCCTCAGCACCACAGAAAAAACTGGAAGTGGCACTGTGGCTCAAGTATCTCAATACTTGAGCTGAAGAGCTGAGGGACAGCATCCAGGCCCAGAGTTCAAGGCCCATGACCGACAAAAAAAGAAAAAGGAAAAATTGCCCTCATCTGTATACCACACCACCCAGAATAAGTCTGAACGCAGAGCTCTGATTGGTCCAATCTAGAGGAAAGAGAGTCCCAGAGTCCGGGAACCTGTCTTATCAGGTGGGCAGAGAATGCACAATTATTATTCTTTTTCATCTTTGGTCCAAGACTGGGATTCAA